AACCAACTTTTTGAATGGAATAGAAGGATCACGTAATATTTCCACGTCGTCCGTACCAGGAATTGGTGTCACTTGACGACAAGGTATTACCTGAATACCCATTAGCCCTTTACCTGGTGTTGCACCAGGTGGCACCGACCCCCAACCGTAAGATATAAAAAGAGCCTGAAATTACATGTTTCATAAATATCGTCATTCAAAAAATCAGTCGCTGAATGCTTGACATTGAACATGGCTGAATGTAGAATGTGGAAAGATCGGTGAAAGCTATCTGTTTGGTTCAGTTTCTTTTTTTTTAATAATACGAAAGTGGAGAATGGCTTCAGAGGAAAGAAAGTATTTAGCACGACTATAAAACAAACTTCAGCAACACTGATAACCACTTTACCGAGCACCTCAACCGGGAACAACTCTTGAGTTATATCGATCAGCGCTTGTAGATCAGCTTCGTCGCTTAACAACCGGTCATATTTATCTAAGTCTCTGGAATATTAACTAAATAGATAACACTTATAGAATAACTGTAAGCATACGGAAAATTTTCTAAATCATAACCGCCTGCGTCATGATCATAAATGAATTTCTTATCTTCATTAGCTGCAGCTGATTCTGATTTAAATAATCTACATTTGACGAAGTGGGATAAAAAATAAATGACCGTTTCATAGTCAAGTATGTTCATAAACATATATGTAGGAATAGGATTCTTAGAAACGGAAATTCAAAACCGAAAGAGAAGAAACTTACATGAAGTTCAGTTCAACAAGGAAATAGACGATGAACAATTTCACACCAAATGCTACAAATGAATCAATGACTTCGGCAGCAATACGACGTGCAAACGATGGAATTGCTCGACGCTGTGTGAAAGAAGTGGCTCCGGCTTGAGGAGGAGCATTGTTCGTTGTTGCTGAAGCATTGGAGGTGAGAACTGGAGAGGTTTGCTGAGATGCAGCGAACTGTGGGTTCATACAAGACGCAACATAGGCGTACGAATGCATGCAGGCCATCTGATGACAAATAGCCCAGCACTGCGATGCCATTACCCATTTACGAACCTCATCTGCATAAGCCGCAGCAGTTCCGTAATCTTTTCGCGATACAACTGAGCACGAATCATTTTTTGTATCCTTCGTTACTTCTTCTCCTTCATTATAACCCTCCTCGTTTGTCATTCTAAAAACAGTTCCATCCATTCAAATATCCAAATATCATAACTGAGAAATGACAAATCGAAAACTTCGTAAGATTCCAAGCAAAGTCAAACATCATCACACAAACTTAAAATATTTATGTAAAAGTACCTTGTTGGAAAGATGAGCGACGCTCGTAGATACACGATTACCGCTGCAAATTCAAAGTTCACTCGCAATCGGAAGTTTCTCGATATCAACGAACTATACGATGTTCTCCAAGTACTTCCACTCAGCAAACAGACAATAACCGATTTTCTTAACACACCTGTGAAAGAGGCGGAGCCTCGCAACAACTGAACGATACGCCACAATATATAAATAGTAGTACGTATGCAAGCAAACTTTTCAACACTAATCAGCGTGTTCAAGAAATGTTCCGAACATTTTGAGACAATTATTGGAAATAGTCCTGAATAGATGCTGATATGATTTGTAAATGAGTACTACTGATATGAAGGCAGTAGTTCAGTGTTCAACCTCTGCACTGCAGTTCGAGTGTTCTGAATCAACTGAAGCCATTAAATCAAAATTATCCGGAACAATTACTGCCACCAACACAGAAAAATAACGCAATGTGATTTATCACATTTCATTTCAGCCACCTGTTTCATTAGTGTATTGATACATATACAATTGAGGATGTGTATTTTAGATTACACTACCTGCTAAATCGTCATGTGAATCATTCCTTGCCATGCTCAGCAACAAAAAACTACAGTTTTGAATTTATGGCATACACCATACATTGGAAGACAGATACCATTGTTTGAGATATGCGGCGACTGATTTTACTGGTACAGTCATCATAAGTAGCTGTTGGAGGAAGTACGCAGAGCCCGGTATGGAAAATTCCAAGTTCTTCACCTATTGTCAGAAAGATATAGATTCATTTCAGCGATTTTGATAGGCATTTGACGTGTACAGCAATCCAGGTGAATGTTGTGCAGTATGGATTCATTTCACCTAGTATTAGCATGAATTTCACTTATACTGCGCGACAGGTCAATATACTGCACGATGTCCAGTATGGTTTATTTCAGCTGGTATCAGTAAACATTTCACTTACAGTGCACAATAATGATGGCACCCAGCCGACGTTCGGTCAGAAAAATCCCGCAAATTTCGATCGGAATTCTAACCGAACTTAAAAATTGTTCGGTTTCCGACCGACCAATTTTAAAGTTCGTTCCAAAATCCAAATGCCGGAATCTCAACGTATCAATTTTGAATCTGAGTCTGTTGTGAAGAGATCAATTGGGGATTCACAGAATATTGAGTTGATCGTTGGATGGTTGAGTGAGTTTGGCGTCCAGTGGTTTTTGTTTTGCGATTCATCACACGTGAGCTATTTATTACGAGCGGAATGGGAATTCGAGTTGACGGGGACACAATTGAATTTGATGTACAAGAAAAAACTTGGATTTGGAGACGGGAGACGAGACTTCGGTTATAATTCAGCAATAATTGATTCGGATTTCAACAAACGGTTGATTTACTTACATGTACACAACAACAATAAGAATACCGCAATTCAAGAAGTACGCTCATTCGAATCCTCCAAACAGTATCAATCTATCGATTTTCTTAGAGATTTATGATAACAAACAAGAAAAGATGAATGACATCAGATTAGATAAGATAAAAGCTATAATAAATGATGTGAGATATATGTAAAACAAAAATAATATGTTTTCAATATATTGCAAAATAAGATAGAATAATTTGATAAGAGAAATATATTACACACTATG